TTGAATACCCAAAATCGGAATAGAAGGCTTTGTAAGCGTAGAAAGTATATTCTACAAACACCCAGCAATCACACAACAACCAAGCATACAACTCTCGTTTATTTATACAACATAACAACGTCCTTGAGACAGTTAAGAAAATAGCATACTAAAATACACTGCAGCCAATCACAGCCATTGATTTTGCTGGTGGGAATTGAAATCTCAAGGTCATCTGATCAGCCCATGCTGGCGAAACGTGAAAACCAAAATACGGCATTATCAAGCGAATTTCGGGGATCTAACATCCCCAACACTCCTCCCCTTTTTAATAGCTTGTTCTCCTGGGGTCGACTTGCATCTTGACTATTGTTCGCCGCTGTCTGAGGGGATACCTTCGGGAATGAAGAACAGCTTGCTGCTGAGTTTCTTCTCGTGGCGGGGCTCTCGGTAGGTTGAAGGTATCAAGCAAGATGTCAAGGGGAAGGCTTTCTGCTCTTGATGGGCGATCTGGGGCTAGCCGTCTGCGTATCTGATTGCGATGACGTGACCATTTATCACCTCCTACCTCTACTTCGTACATAACTCGACCAACCCTTCTGACCACTCTCGCTTCTACCCAAGGACCATGGTTCGTTCTGTAGTCGCGGGCAAACACAGGGCATCCCACCTCGTAAGCGGATTGTCTTTGTGGCCTTGTCTCTACTGATGAGGGTGCATTAGTCGGATGCATCAGGCTGTGGATCGTTTTCAATCTTCTTCCCATCAGGATTTCAGCTGGGGACTTTTGCTCCGGTAACAATTCATTTGGTGTTGTCCGATAGACGTACAAGAAATTTTGTAACGTTTCGGCTGGCGTCCCCTCCCCTTTTGACTTGAGCAGTGCTCTTTTAAACGTATCCACAAACCTTTCCGCCTGCCCATTCGATTGCGGGTGGTATGGTGGCGAGCGTAAGTGTTTAGTGGCTAGCCGTTGACAGAAAGTCTGGAATTGGGAAGAGGTGAATTGAGAGCCATTGTCGGATACGATCACATCTGGTATGCCATTTCGTGAGAAAATTTCAGAAAGGAGCTGTATAGTCTTAGTTGTAGTGGGCAGCATAACGGGGCTGATTTCCGGCCATTTAGAAAAGGCGTCGACGACAATTAAATACAAAGTTCCATTTATTGGGCCAGCGAAGTCGACATGTATCCTGGACCAAGGATGCTCAGGTTTGGGCCATGAAACCGGCGGAATTTTGGCATTCATCTTTGCCGCCTGCTGACACCGCATGCATTTTTCAACCAACGCTGTGACATGTTGATCCATGTGAGGCCAGTATGCATAACTCCTGGCTATGGACTTCATTCGTTTAATCCCAGGATGACCAAGATGGAACTGTCTCAGCACTTTTGCACGAAGGGATTCTGGCACCACTACTCTTTCACCAAACATCAGACAATCGTTGACGATGCATAGTGACTCCCGCCGCTGATACAGTTGCTTCATGTCACCTTCGAAATTTTTCGACGGCCAACCGTTAGTGACATATTTCATCGTCATCTTGATGATGGGGTCGTTTCTAGCAGCATTTTGTATGTCTGTTGCAGACACCGGTAATGCGCGAACTGCGGTTGTCAGATAACATTCTGCGTGGTCTTCTACTGACAGCGATGCGATCACCGTGTTTTCCTCAGCCGCCACTTGATCATTAATGAGTCGTGACAAAGCGTCTGCTTGACCGAATTGTAGAGTACGTCGATATTGGATTTCGAAATCATACCCCAAAAGTACCAAGGCTCATCGCTGAAGACGATTTGCAGAATGGGCTGGAATGCCAGACTTTGAACCAAATATTGCTAACAGAGGCTTGTGATCTGTGAGGAGCGTGAATCTCCGACCGTACAGAAACTTATGGAAACGGCGAACAGCAAACACAAGGGCAAGAGCTTCTTTCTCTATCTGGCTATACTTCTTTTCTGCTGGGGTCAGTGTACGGGATGCATGCATAACGGCTTTTTCCGACGCGTCTGGAAATTGATGTGAAATAACAGCACCTAGGCCATATGCTGAAGCGTCTGCTGCTACGATGATCGGCATGGATGGATCGTAGTGTGTTAGTAACAATTCCGAGCTAATTATAGACTTGAGTTTACCAAAAGCCGCGTCACACTCTTTAGTCCAGTTCCATGTGCTATGCTTCTGCAGTAGACAATTCGATGGAGCACGAATATCATGCATCGAGGGAACAAAAGCTGAATAATAACTGATCAAACCGAGAAAAGATCGTAATTCGGAAACATTAGTGGGAGTGGGCATCAGTTTGATAGCTCGGATGTTTTCAGGATCCGGTCTGCGACCGTCGGCATCAAAGATGAATCCCAAATACTTTACCGACTGCAATAGAAACTGGCATTTTTCTGGGCGTAACCGGAAACCATTGTCACTGATGCGTTGTAGTACCAATGTCGTGCGTTCCCGTAGCTGTTCTAACGTCTTCGCAACAATCAAGATATCATCGAGATAAGCTGCAACCCCTGAGATATCTGACAGGATAGTATCCATTAGTTGTTGGAAGATAGATGGGGCAGTCTTAACTCCAAAAGGTAGACGGTTATACTGGAACAAACCACGATGAGTGTTGATAGTAAGCAGCTCTTTAGATGCTTCATCGACTTCCACTTGCAAATAAGCATCAGCTAGGTCAAGCTTTGCGAAGAACTTTCCCCCATTCAGCATAGTGAACAGATCTGCTGGGACTGGCAGAGGATAATGATGCTGTTCTAGAGCTGCGTTGAGACCTGTAGAGAAGTCAGCACATATACGTATCGTGCCGTTGGCCTTCTTGATAACGACTATAGGTGCTGCCCAACTGGAGTAAGAAACGGGAGTAATAACTCCTTGTCGTTGAAGGCGATCCAGCTCTTCATCTACTGTTGCTAATGTAGCATACGGTACAGGTCTCTTTGGACGAAAAGCAGGCTTAGCCCCATGTTTCAACCGAAGTGTTGCTTTCATAGCAGTGCACCAACCTAATCCAGGTTCAAAAATGGTCGAAAACTCTGTCATCAGCTTCTTCGTATACGCTTCTGGGTCATGTCGTTGTGATACCAGGTTGCATATGGTATTTAACGGGACATCAGCCAATTTTAGCTGGTCGAACCAATCTAAACCAAGTAAATTTAGATCAGCTGGCGTTATATAGCATACCCCAGTAAACGACGAATCTCGGAAAGCAACTTTACATTCCAATTGTCCTAACAGACGAAGATAATTACCACATGCTGTACGAGGCTTTTGTGTTGTGTGCTGTAGGCTTGGGCTGCCCAATTTGGTCCAATTTTTGCGTGAGAGGATAGTGACATCAGATGCAGTATCTATTTGCATTAAAAAAAAAAAAAAAAAAAAAAAAAAAAAAAAAAAAAAAAAAAAAACTGGTGATGAGCTTTGGCAGGAAGATATTAGGCTCAATGCATTGGTACTGGATCTAGGAACAGGCTTCTTAGCACTTCTGGATCGCTTTGGCTTTTTCTGTAGGCAAAAGCCATCTTTATGACCGATGACTTTACACTTCCTGCATCTATGCTGCCTAAATGGGCAGTTCCGTACATAGTGCCATGAGCCGCAGTGCCAGCAAGCAGAAGGTGGATTCATTTTGGGTTTTTGGGCCGAATTGGAGCGGGATGAACTGGGTGTAGCATGGGCAGACTTATAATGATAAGGTGGCTGCTGTACCAAATGAATTTCAGATCGGCTTGAACTACCATTCTGAAGTATAGTCGAGTCTCGTTGTAGGTTAGTGAGACGTTGGTACTCATGAGCCATATCATTAAGCGTAAGCTTTGGATCTTGCTCCAACCGACTTAGTAGCCTTGTTCTAATGTCACTGAACTTACTCGACTGGAGGCTGCAGATGAGTATAAGGGCTTTGAACTGGTCTTCCGAGAAAGACTTCAACCGAAAACGTTCGCATTCACGGTTGACGATGCCCACATGCGTAAGAAAATCATCATCTTCGTTCATAATTAGCTTCAAACATCGATAACGAGTATTAAATAGTGACGAGTTGTCTCCAAAGTGTTGGCTTAAAGTCTGGACAGTCTCAGAAAACGAACAGTCTCGTGGGTTCAAAGGCAGGATCAAATTACAGTACTTATCCAGCTCACTTGCGCCCAACTTTCGAAGTAGCAGCCGAACCTTCCAAGCATCATCTTGGTTAGCGAAATCAAATTTAAATAAATCTTCATAACGCCGGAACCACATGTCAAAAGTGACATTTGCATCAGGATCATAATGAAATTCAGATATGCTATTTGCGATGCCGTCGACCGATGGAGCTGTGGTTGCATTAGATGAGCTGGGCTGTGTGGAAGGGGAAATCTTCATGTCTGTCAACATCTGCATCAGTTTCAGCTGCTGCTCAAGTAGTAATTCAAGTTTGGCAGGATCCATATTTCCAAAAGCACCGTCGCCACTGATAAGTTCGTCACTTAGTATGCTTGAGGCTATTACGAGTTTACCTTAGTCGATAAACGCGAACGAGACTTTTACCAGCTTCCAGGGAGGCTACCTTGAATACCCAAAATCGGAATAGAAGGCTTTGTAAGCGTAGAAAGTATATTCTACAAACACCCAGCAATCACACAACAACCAAGCATACAACTCTCGTTTATTTATACAACATAACAACGTCCTTGAGACAGTTAAGAAAATAGCATACTAAAATACACTGCAGCCAATCACAGCCATTGATTTTGCTGGTGGGAATTGAAATCTCAAGGTCATCTGATCAGCCCATGCTGGCGAAACGTGAAAACCAAAATACGGCATTATCAAGCGAATTTTGGGGATCTAACAAACACATGTCCCAATCACCTCAAATGATGAAGTTTCACCACTTCATCTATTGATCTGCCATCCTTACCTAGTACTCGTTTCCTTAACAATACGATTGCTTACTCGGCTGTCCCACGATACACGAGCAATGCTTCAAAGACATCTGTGATCGAAAACCAGTCACCTACAAATATCTTCTACTCTTTATTGGCCATGTTTCACAACCATATAGTAACACCCTACAATAATTTGTATAGATAGTTTCTAGTGAGTTTTCCAAAATTTCTGTCGACCTTTTTTCTTCCAAGTAATCGTATCGTAGATTGATCGATCGATCGTTTTAGTGATCATCTCATCATTCTTTTCTTATATCTGCAGCATTCAAGAAAATTGTTATCCTGAAAATATCACCTATTTCAATTTAGTGAATACATCACAAATGGATTCTGATATTAAATTAGGCTTTTTAAATGATGCAGACGAAGATTGTTATAGTGTAGAACCGAAAGAATTAAATCTTAAACCAAATCAATCAACCAGTGTACGTATATGTGCTTGGCCAAAATTCAATAAACGTTATGATGATGCGTTAGTTTGTTCAGTGAAAGATAATCCAGAACCGATTTTATTTAAATTAGCATGTGATGGTGTTTTACCAGAATTGGAATTAGATAAAAAAGTATTTAATTTTGAAAAAGTATTATTACAAAGGTAAGTTTAAGTAAAGTATAATTTTTTTTGGTGGGTGATTTAAACATGTTTAGTGAGTGTGAGGAGAGATGGATGATGGCTGGCAGTGGAATCCCTGATGTGCATTTTGTCCTATTTGAGATTCTTCATAAGCTAGATATGACTGCATCCTAGAGTTGGCGTTCACTCTGGGACTCGGACCTGGTGGTGTCTGCTTCAGATGAATTCGCAAGTGCATCTAGCTGACGAATCTCAAATAGGACGAAACGCGTATCATTGATTCCACTCCCAACCAATATCCATCTCTGTCTGTAACACCTGTGACCTGTTGGTTATATCGAGGCAATCCGTACATATGCCAAATGAGACTAGTCGATTGCTTTTCTGACTGTCAAGGGGAACATTATAACAAGCATTACAAAGTTGGAAGGTTATCACCTATTACAAACGGATCTAGGACACGGTACGTCACAATATCTATCAGTGAGGAATGTCGTTTGTTACTTTTTTTGATACCACAAACAACAATGACTTCAGCTATTTAAAATGAATACTTGTACTCTCATAGTACTGATCGAATTCTATTCATCAAGGAGTATTCGTTCCCTCGATATCATAGATTTCGGCTGACTCTTTCTGTTCAGAAAGTTAGGTGAATAGCCACTGGGTGCAGTTTGTCGAGTTCAAGGTCACTTTTGTTATTGGTGCAGTGTTCTATGTGTAATCTATTCGGTCTACTGACATTTGTATTTTGACGCTTCGAAATACTTTGGATCACCATTTAAACGAAAGGAACTATTTTCTAACTGACTGTTGTGGACTTTTGAATTTCAATTAACTACGAATATGATAGTTTAGCTTACGTAAATTAGAACTCGTGATTTAATCATCGTTAGACCACCATTAGAAACCTGGAAGCACTGGACAGCCGTTTTTCCCTGGCATGGGGCTCGTCATCCGAGATCTCATCAGGACGGACTCGAACCTTCGATCTTGTGGGAACCGCTGAGCTGGCACCAACAGTGTCAGTGTCTTACTCTGATCAATCTAAGGGTTTTGTGTAACCTTACCCAATTGTCGTCCGCTGTTCAGTGCTTCCAGGTTTCTCACGGAGGTCTAACTTTGAATTTTGGTCACGAGACAAAAATGTAAGAAATGTAGAAGTAGTAATAAAATAATATTTAAATGATGGGAAGGTAGTAATGTAACGAAACAATCAGAGAAGGCCATTTGATGACCATCAGAAATGTACCTAAAAGACGAATACAGATCATTAATCATAAAATGGATCCCTTTTCTAAGGATGTTGGATATCAATATATAGACAAGTATTCATACATATTAGTTGATAGCCCAGTAGACTTTCTTATCTACTCTTGCCTTCTTGCTCAAGTTGCCACCTTTTTCGGGGGTTAGCGCAGATCACACCGCATACCACAATAAATACTATTAGAAACAATAAAGTACATAATACTCAGATATTATCCGATGTCTGATCAAAGATTTTATAATCCTACAATTACAGAAATAACTAAGCATCACATAACATGTCAATTATAATACATCTCATAATTACTCTTAGTCAATAAACCTTTTTGCACACTATATTTTCTATGCACAGAAAAGAAGTCCGTTCGATTACATTCAAAAATCGTACTCTATTACCAGCACAATGGAAATTGTCTGGAATTGAAGCGCTGGGCGAAGAATTCTCTATATCTCAAGATGCTGGTATTGTTGAACCACAGTCAGAATTTACTGTTTATGCTTATTTTCGTGCAATGAAATCGATGAAACCGAATCAAAAGCGAAGTTTACGTTTGGAAGTTTATGATTTAGAAAATATTGCTGGTTTAATACAAGTGGAAACGATACAAGTATTAGCTGAAGCCTATGATGTTGCTCTGGATATTACATTTCCTAAAGGTTAGTCTTTATTTTATTTGAACGAATTTATAAACTGTTTGTTCAGTGGTTAAGGTTGATGTTATGTCCTTAACCATTGGCCAGTATCACGTGACAAGTACAACACACCAATCAGGATCAAGCTCCGTCTGGGGCTCCTTCTGGAGTTACTGCCGGTCCCAAGCCCGGATAGAGGAAGAGGGTTGAGCATATGGTCGGTGACTTCATTCCGCAGATTACTAATTCTCTAAAAATCGCTAACTAGGCAAAGTCTTCAAAAGGGTGTTGTTAAACAGAATGAAGGACTTCGTTGACGCCCAACTTCGAGATCAATAGGCTGGATTTTGTTAAGATCCTTCATGTACTGACCGAATTGTAACATTAAGGATCATTGTGGAACAACTAACTGAATGGAACTCACTACTCTACATCAACTTCATTGACCATGAGAAAGCATTTGATAGTTTGGACAGGATAACACTATAGAGGCTTCTTCGACACTACGGTGTGCCTGAGAAAATAGTCATCATCATATGGAATTCTTATGATGGATTCAACTGCAAAACCGTGCACGGAGGACAGCTGACAGAATCGCTCGACGTGAAGACTAGTGTCAGGTAAGTCTGCTTACTTTCACCCTTTCTTTTTCTCCTGATGATCGATTGGATTATGAAAATATCAAGATCTGAAAGGAAGTACGGGATACAGTGGACAACCGGGATGCAGCTGGACGATCTGGACTTCGCAGATGACTTTGCTGTTCTATCGCACCCGCAACAACAAATGTAAAAGGAGACAGCGTAGCAGCAGCCTCATCAGCAGCACGTCTCAATATACATAACGTTAAAAACAAGACTCACCGATACAACACGACATACGCCAACCAAATCAAACTTGATGGAGATGCGTTGGAGGATGTCAAAACTTTTACATATCTGCGTAACATCATCGACTATCAAGGTGGATCCAATGCAGATGTGAAGGCACAGATAGGCAACGCAAGGGCTGCATTTTTACAACTGAAAAATATCTGGAACTCCAAACAAATATCAATCAACACCAAAATCAGGATTTTCAATACAAATGTCAAGACAGTTCTACAGTATGTAGCGGATACCAGTGTTGATTAATAGTTATCTACGTACATTACTTTGGATCCGTTGGCCAAACACCATCAGCAACAACCCATTGTGGGAAAGAACAAATCAGATTCCAGTTTAAAAGAAGTGTATAGGAATTACATTGAGAGAAACACAAGACCATGTCAGAAAACAATCTCCCACTTAGAATCCTTAAGACCAATCAAGACATTACACCGTGAATCGGAGTGAGACATGTACATAATCAACAACGATTGGATAGAACTAGAAAGGAAAGCCCGGGACAGAGTAGTCTGAAGAATAATGTTCGGCGGCCTTTGCCCCATTGGAGGTAACAGGCGTAATTAAGTAGGTGATCTAACCATATAGTTGACTCAATTGAGGAATTCCAATACTAGGATAAGACATCAGTAAAATATGGAATCGCTCGCAGATTCCCAGAATATATATATCTAAATTTCTATTCTGAAATTGTTTCGACCATTATACGGAACCACTTACAATCAGTCATAGAAGAATGTTGACTATACCCCTCGCATCAATATCAATATCTGATCATACAATTAAGTAACGAAATTTTTAAATTCAACAAATAGATTCTCGAGAGTTGATCAATAAAGCTATAAAATTAAAATGGAGTGATCCGGTTTAGTGGAATGTGTCCTGATTCATTAAACGAAAGCATAATATCGATAAGTTTCAAACTGTGGAAGACATGATAAAGACATATCGGTTTTACTGATTTCATGTTCACTGTTAATCTAAATGATGGTTACAATCACACAACTACTACTCACACTACTACTACTACTACTAATCATACTACTATTATTTTCATTACTGCTACTACTACTGTGGTGCGAGCTACTCATAAGTAGTATATGACGTGAGTGTCAACGTAATGTCTGGCAGCACAAGATGGGGGAAGATCAAGAAAGGAAGAGTTAGAACACAATGGAATTTGTATGAAACGCATGAATAGTAGTGACAATGGATTGATGTTTTACAACAGGAACAGTCCAGTTCCATAGGATGAACTGATAATTTGCAAATTAACAATTTACGATATGGTTTTCCAATTTTACTGAGTAACTCTGTAATTTTCGTTTCATACAATTCGGTTGCTCCACCTGTGTTCTCCTTCACTACACTACTACCACTCATAGTGTGGTGTACGCTACCTATGTTCACATAAGTAGTATAAGATATCAAATGGAAATCAAACGTCTGACAGCAAAAGATCGATAAGGAAAGAATGAAACATAAGGCGATTTGTAGGTAACGCTTAAAGTGAACTGAAGTCTGAACAGTCTAAATGTGAAAGAACACTGAAATATGAAACAAATAAGGATTGATTTGCAAATGATGATTCACGGGAAGGTTTTATAAATAGACCTAACAACTCTGTAATGTTCACTTAGATATTTTGTTGATGTCCTCACCTGAGTTCACGAGCACAACAATACTACTACTAATAATAATTTTTCTTATTTCAACATACAAGGAAGTGATGGTGGCATTGAATTTGGTCTGATTAAAGTTGGTGAAGAGATTAAACATACTATTACATTGAAGAATAAAGGTCCTTATGAAATCGTGACCAAGTAAGTATTTGCTGTTTTTTTGTGTGTTGTTGAATGATTTAAAAGTCAAGGATAAATTTACCAATTTGATTTCAATTCAGCTTAATTAATCAATAGCTGCATGATGTTCTTTCTTGTCACTGTTAGTTATACATTAAACCCTTGTAAATGCCAAGAGGTCACTCATGAGGTCGAAGGTGCTGGTTGTAAGATGATGGATGTGTGTTGTTGATGAGTCCTATGGTAGGACGAAACAGACGTTCAGTGCTTCTGGGGTTTCTAATGATGGGGTTTAAAGCTGACCGATTCATGATTTCAAATTAAATTACATATATTTATGAAAATGAAGTAGTCTTATCAATTGAGTAAACCATTTTGCTTGTAACTGAACAATGTCATATAAGATTGTTAGATTATTATATAACATTATTTGACTTGTGATTGTAATGAAGTTGTTAGTTAATGGTAATTAGTATGTTTCACAGTATGCTTGCTATCCACTTCCACAGCGTTCTCCTAACTTCTCCCTTTTCTGGAATCTAGTTTTTCTCCCCCACAACCGGCGGTGTCTGGTCAGTGGATCTGCACGATCTTCAGTAGACAACTGAAATAAACACATGCAACTTGTGGATAATGGTTTTCATGTTTCTCCGAGTTTCCATTTCGAACAATAGAACAGTTTACACATTCGTATTGGAAATTGTGACTTTGGTGTTGGTTGATGGTTGTTTTTAGGTTCTATACGTTCTTCAACTGAAGAAATGCTTCCCTAGCCTTGCTGTTCCGTGTCTTTATGTCAGCATCATATGCACCTTACTCATCAATGATACGTAAAGGTTTTACTTCTTCCAAAGTTTTACAATCCAGTGTGTTTTGGTTGGCGCATGTTGTGTTTCATAGAAGAATCTTGCTTTTCTCTTTATGTTTGTCGAAACCTGTTGCCGCTGGGGATGATGCTGACCTGGTCGTCTTCTTCTGTATTTGTTGTTGTGTGTGGGATGAGAGGACCTGATGATATATGAAGTCTAGATCGTTCAGCTGAATCCGAGCTGTCCAGTGTATTCTGTGCATCCGCTGAGATGTTAAGGTTTTTATAATTCGGTCAAGCAGTAGGAGAAACAGAATGGGTAAGAGTAAGTAACCTTGTCTATCTTCTGTTAATTGCTTTCTCACAGTCGAGAAGGTTGTTGTGGAATAGTGATTTCCATTGACTGTTCCACAATAATCCATATTTTAGAGTGCAATTTGATCTGTACATGGTCAGTCTTTAAGAGAATCTAACGTGCTGATCCCAAAATTTGGCTACTAACTAATAGTTCATTTGGTTTAACAACACTCTGTCCAATACTTTTCCTGGTATTTGGATGAGTTGATAAAAATTACCCTAAAAAACGAAACGAATAACACTTGAGCAATAGTCGTGTAATTCGAATATACCCAAGGAATTGAAGATCTTTCCTAATTGACTGTCTATGATTTTATGGCTAAAGCATCCGACTCGTAATAAAAGCCTCGCTTTACACACTACTGTTTAGTCATTTAAGTAATATCAATAGTTCACGCATAAAAAATGTTGTGACCCAAGGTTTAGTACACCAATTTGTACTTTATTAGTTAATTATCTACAATTATTTTAGAAATATTAAGTACTTCTCTCTAGGTGTGAATTGGTTTGGTCTGAAAATCGATTATCATCTGTGTGATATAAGCAGATTTTCATCTTAAATAAAATTTTATCTCTTAAAGTTGTGCGTGTTTTGATGCCTTAGGATTATGTGTACTGCCAATTGGAATTGACATGTTTTTGTATCGTCTCAAATTATCATTTCAAAAGTTGCATGTACACACTATTTAAACAACTATCGATTTCACATTTACTTTTCTCTGCTTGTTAAACTAGTTTTCTATTTATAAAGAATGAAAAATTAAAAACCGATTTCAGTAGTATCTTCACAATGTCACCACAACGTGTCAATTTATTGCCAACAGATAAACTAACTCAAGTGAATGTAAGTATTTTTTTTATCGATTTTTGAAATATTAACAAAATAAAAGAATACTGATGACAATTTGAATTTAAATATATATTTTAAATAAATAACTATTATACAAGCGGTCAGTTAGTGTTGGGGATGTTAGATCCCCAAAACTCGCTTCATAAATGCCTAATTTAGGATTTCACGTTTGTGAGCATTGGCTGATCAGTTGACCTTGAGATTTCATTTCCCACCAAGAAAATCCATGGCTGTGATTGACTGCTGTCTATTTTAGTGTGCTATTTTTTGTGACTGTCCCAAGGACGTTCCTATGACGTATAAATAAACGAGAGTTGTGTGCTTGATTGTATTTTGATTGCTGGGTGTTTGTAGAATATACTTTCTATGCTTATCAAGCCTTCTGTTTACAGCTTAGGATTCAAGGTAGCCTATCTGGACTCTGGTAATTGTCTCGTTTATCGACGTTTATCGACTAAGGTGAACTCTTAATAGCTTCAAGCGTACACAATGACGAACATAACAGTTAGAGCGACATTAATTTGAAACAGGAAGATTCGGTTTATTCTGTAAAAATGTGACAACATTGTAACTGATAACTATTCATTTAGTCATATATCGGTCTAATAGACTTTTGGTGCCGAACAGTTATTGATTTTTCTGAAATTTCGAAATAGATTGTGATCAACCAGAAGTCTTTTTTTGACATGATTGAACATTAGGTTAATCAGTTTCATAGTGATATCATGAATGAATCATTGTTAGACCACCATTAGAAGAAACCTGGTAGCATTAAATGTCCGTCTCATCCTCGTGAGACTCGTTGGCAGCGCGCATCTATGATTCTTGCAGGATTCGAACCCAGACAGAGAGACAGACAGATACAACGCAGAACTTCGTACATAAGTAAATCGGTTCAGGTTACCATACCACGTCATCACAGAAATGTAGCTGTCAGTTCAAATCCAAGAGTGATAGTGATAGTAGAATTATTTGCAGCAATGGCGAAGATTAGGGAGCGAAGATAATATTCGAAAAATATAATTCAGTGAGATAAATTTAGAGGGAGAAAGATAGATATTATGAGAAATTCAGAAGGTTAGAATTAAACAGCACCTGCGCCATTGCAAACGGTTTTTAGCCATAACGTTCAGGGTCTCAAATCATCGATTATTATCATCTCGCGGACCCCAACCAGGTAGTCTACACTTTATAACATGACTCAGTCCATTTGTCAGTGATTTCATGGATTTCTGCCATGTTTTGTTTTGGTCGCCCCTAGCTTTCTTTCAACCTATTCCTTTATCGAAAAACATAGCTCGTCGAGGCAGTCGGTGGTTAGGCATACGTAACACATGTCCCAACCACCTCAACTGAGGAAGTTTCAATAACTCAACTATTGGTCTACCATCCTTACCTCGTACTTGTTTGCTAACAACGGCATTGCTTATTCGGTTGTCCCGACATAAACGAGCAATGCTTCGGATACACCTTTGACCGAAGACTAATAACCTATGTAAGTCCTCTACTCTTAACGGCTATGTTTCACAGCCATATAATAGGACGGAGCGAACTGCTACACGGTACACTCGTCCTTCGGTTAGCAAGCGGATATCTCGCCTGCGTCATAGTTGACGCAGGTTGGCAAAAGCCAGTTGAGCCTTCTGTATCCGAGCTGAGATTCCGTCAGTCACCAGGCCATCAGCACCCAGGACCTTCGGTAATGTGCGCAAACGATTAACTTCTGGCTCACTGAGATGGCAAGTGCCCGACGATGGTAATGTCTATTTATGACCAATCAAAAGCTCTTTGCGTTACACCATGCACTATCTTCAGCAGTTACTGCCTACATCCGACAGGATTTAAATCCAAGGATTTCCTCACAAAGCTAGTCACTAGTCAGCACATTTTTTTCGATTTCGCATTATAGTATCAGTTTCAACTGTGTACATAACTGAAAATAAATTGTATTGAATTTCATTAGAAGTTTCCTTTTTTCTTTGATGACATCATTTATTTTCTCGAGCAAATTCAAACCCACGGATTCAATTGTATTTTGATTAATTTTTTTTAGCTGACTTGTTGTGCACCGACAGAGTTAATTTTAAAAGAAGCAGAAATACTTAAATGTCAAATTATTGAACCGAATATCAAAGGTACACCACAATTGATTGCATCCATACCAATTAAATTATCAGTGAGAGCAGAATTTAGCAAGTAAGTCTCTCTCTCTCTGTGTAGGTGTGTGTGTGTGTGTGTGATGTTATTTACAAACCAGGAACATGTTGTTATTCTGAGATTTGATGTACATTGATTCACTTTTTTCAAATGTACAGTATACTGAGTTATTAGATTAACAATGTTTGTCTGCAAAATATGGCATTTGTAAACTAAAATAGCTTCATAATTTGAAATTGATATGCTTGCAGGTATTACGAGTCACCTTATTCGGTAACGCGAAGAAGATCAGTGATTCAGCGACATGATAGGCTACTGTAATCCGAACGTCTCAGGCCTCACTAACTAGAGGAAGAAGTCTCGATTGAGAAGACGTAGAGAATGTATTTCACAGGCAACCAGTAAGTGCGAGGGCCACAAGCTCAGAGAGCCAGCTTATTTATACTATGATAAAACGCCGTTGGTAAGAGCCACTAAACAGCGTACTAAAATAATCCCTCAACTAATGATATTCAGGGATTTTTAGAGTGGGGAATGTAAGCTGAAGGTTAACTAAGCGTCTTTGGCGCGAAAACATCTAAATTCAAAATTTCAGGAATAAATTAAAAAACTAGGACCTTTTCCAAGTGAGCTCTGGGGATCTACCATCCCCAACAGTAATGGATTGTCTAACTATATACACTCCATCCAGTATTTGAAAGATACATAGATATCGTAAAATCCATTGAACCCTCGAAAGCGAGACTTGAAAATTGAGCTGTTAGTATATACTCGTGAATTACAACAGTCCTATGAATGAAATTTTAAGAAAAGACATTACTGAAACGAAATTCTTGGTAATATTTTCATTAATTGACCTACCAGCATTGATTGTAAGAATCCTCCCATTGGTGTAGCTAGAACCACAACCGATCAGTCTCCTTTGACATATGTGCTTCTGGTGCGGATTGCCTCGATACTGCTTTTGGATTACAAGCACGACTAGTACAGATGGATAGTAGCTAGCAATGGAATGCAGGATGCACAATTCTTCCTGTTTGGTACTCATCATTTGGATGTGCTTTCCAAGTGCTTATCCATGTCCGCTGATAATTATTGTGACTTACTTACTCATGCTTGTTACCCCCTAAATAGAGCATAGGCCGCCGACCAGTATTCTCCAGCCTACTCTGCGCTGGGCATCCGTTTCCAGTTTCGTTTAGCTTTTGTTCATTCTTCTTTTCTCCGTTGTCCCACAATGTTCGAACCTTCTGTGTACCTAAACGAATGGCTGCTCTAGTTGTCAGAAGGGGCATCTGCCTCCCGACTTCCGAAGATATTAGGCTGATACAATCGACCCCAAGGCAGTGGTGTGCACTCTTACTTACGCCTGTTAATCCCAATGGAGCATAGGCCACCGACCAGTATTTTCCGAGTTTTGTGCACTCGCTTCCATCGAAACATGTGACAGGCATTACCGGCTCCTTTATATGAAACTCCTATGAAATCCTCCATTTATTGTCGTAACAAATATACTAAACATCCCAACCTTTGATTACTCAGTTGTCCAGAATCGTAACTCTTACAACATGCCTTAAAACTACTGGGTTCGATTACTGACCAAACTGTGAATGTACACTCCTGAAAAAAAATCCAACGCTAGTTCAATGATTATGATGTAAATTAGAATTTCAGTAGATTTTTTTAAGAGGTTGGTAGTAGTGTTTGAATAATAATAAATGTACACTCGTAATCGTGATTAATGTTTTCCTGAATACAACTTGTTATGTTATTTATTTACAGATTTACAATATCTCCAATACAAGATATTAATTTTGGCTCACTCATATTACATCATCATAAATCAAGACAATTGATCATTGAGAATAATGGCGATTATGAATTTCGTTATTCAATTGTACCGATTAGTAAAATGTTAGAGCTTATTGCAACACGTGAAGCTTTATTGAATAAAGAAACAACGGGTACGGTGAAACATAAAATGTAAGTTATCCAATCAATCAATCAATCAATCAATCTATAGTGTGTCGATTTATTGCGTGTTCGGTAATTAGCTCGTCCAGACAATTGTTACTAACTAGAGTCTGACAGTTTTTATAAATCAGAAGGTGAACTCGTAGTGTTGTTGAATAGGTTTATTTGAGATACATCACAAAGCGAAGTGGAGAAGCAGTGAATAAGACGAATGAAGTGACGTGAATTGGAGGAGGCTGTCAAGTCAACTCAAAGAGATAGAGCATGATTAAAAATAAATAGTCAGACAAATATAAGACAGAAATGCGACAAGCGAAATAGGCACACATGAATAAAAGCGACGAATGGTTGACAAGCTCGAAGTACAAGTGTGACAAATCATGTGAGCTCATACAAACCAGACAATGAAAACGAATGGTACATATGAGTTGTTGCTCCCAATACAAATGGCTTAGTTAAATAAATTAATCGAAAGGGCTTAACCAAATGTAAATGTGGAGGCACCACAAATCAATCAAAGTGTGCTTTCTGTTCTTCCTTATTTGAGCTTTTTAATTTGACAGCTTCTTGTAGCTTCAGTAATTTTAACTCAATCACGACACAAAACGTATACAGACAGTAATAAAGAGTAAAATCTTAACTACACATTAGTATAACTGACATATTGCAATCGGAGTATAAACTAAGCCATAACAGAATACAAACTGAAAAAGAGGTCAGTAATAGATAAATGTTGTAACGTAAGAAATGTGTCATATATTTGTGTGTCATATTTTCCGGTTCTGTCCAGTTGCTGTTCATATCTGTTTCTAACTCTCGATGTAATATGTTCTTCGATCGCACTTTTCACCTTTGACCTTGAATAATCGAAGAGAGGACTTCTCTTGTAACGAATTTGGGTGATTTCCACAATGTGTGTTCTATTCAACTCCAGCGCTTCTTCATGATTTCTTCATCTGCCGATATCTGGTTTGTTTTCTTCCACAGTAGATTGTTGCAGACGGTGTCTTGTAAACAGATTCGAAGTATTTTGTGTAGACAACTGCCAACGAACATTTTTATCTATTGAATGTTGGCTTTTGTGGTTCTTCAAGTTTCCTCCCAAGACAGTAGAACTGTTTTGATATTTGTCCAAAGGTTAGGCGTTCATGTGCAACGCCGAAGGTCCTGGGTTCGATTCCTGAGAGTAGCGAGATTCATGGATGCAGAATTACGTAACAAATATGAAGTACGTAAAATAATGAGATAGTGAAGTGAATAAAAGGAAAGAGGCGAAAATGACAAACAGATTCAAAATATCAAAATAATAATCATAATAACAGCACACAAACAAAATAGTCTGTTAATTTATATCCGACCAAGGAATGGACAAGGATCTCGCGAATTTCTTCTGATTACATGAAAACTAGGGTTGTAGGTTTGGATTCCTATGGTTTAAGCTACATGTGACAGAAGATATCAAACTCCTTCAAGAGAGGATGGAGATCACCTGAGATGATTAGATTTTATCTACAATGTGATCACTATCAATTAGGTATGCCGAGATAGAGCTGTGCATTGTTTTCATCTGACCCTTTCCAAAACATATTTGGAGATGTTGATTCTACCTTGAATTTTTGAATGAATGATTGTTAGACCACCATTGGATCAATGGATGGCCGTTTCGTCTTGATATGGAACTCATCAGTAGTGCGCATCCTCGACTCCAGCTATTCACAGTATTTGAAAGCACGATCTTTATGAGGTTCTCTGGGATCTAGTGAAAAGGCGAAACTAGTGGAGTTCAACCCTGTCGGTTGTAGGAAGTAACTATCAAAAACAATGGGTGAGGTTGCGCGAAACCCTTAGATACATCAAAATTAGACATCAGCACTATTAGATGTCGGCTCACTGGTTCAGAGGTCAAGCATTCAAGAGCAAGACCAAAGTTCCTGAGTTTGAATCCAGCAAGCAGGTTTTGTGGATGCGCACTGCTGATGAGTCCCATACCAGGATCAGACAGCTGTTAAGTGCTTCCAGGTGTCTTCTAATGGTGCTCTAACAATGATTTATTCATGCTTACAAAGTGAAACTGAGTTTTCCATAATACTCTAGTGCAAGACATTGGTTCATTCGTTGGCTAGGTTGCCTAGTAGTAGTACTCCTAATATTGTTATCGCTTTTAAGTATCCAGAATGATCAAGACAGCCATCTTTCTATGAAACCTCTTTAAATGAACGTGACCTACAGCCATACCTGGAAGAAACGGCACTCCAGTACTTTCAGGTTTCTTCTAATGGCAGTCTACCAATGATTGACGATTGATGAATTCTAATGTGTGTAAAAGTTAACTGTTTGTATGCATATTTATTGATTATCATTCAAATTTATGCATTTGTTTTATTATTATGTACAGAAATCATCAGAAAATTACAAGGTATGCAATGTGATTGCATGAGATGATTGCCTATTGATGCACATTATATTGTCATTCTGCATGACATCTAACCATACTTTATCTCATTGCACTTAAAGCGTCCTTTACTTGTCATTTCTTTTCAAAACAGATTGTATTCATCATTAGTTTTACAAAATAAATTACGATATTCTTGTACGTTGTATACACACACGCACACTTAAGAGGACACTAGGCTATGTTAATTACTTATGACTCATGCAGTTATAATTAGGCGCAGAGTAAATAAGCGTTTCTCTCTCTGATTTGATGTGTTGTTCGACTAAGTTACTCCAAGATTAGTGAAGAAATGCTTAAATCAAATTAATATCACGTCACTGCACCAACTAGTGGCTTTCGGCAATCTGTAGTTATGTGGATAACGTGATGGCGTCTGAAGCGAACGTTACGGGTTTCACTTCCCAGGGTGAACTCTGAGATGCGCGTGTAATCAGGTGAAAATAGGCTAGACATGTGACAAGCAAAGTAAGCAATGCACACCCGCAATCATGTAAAAACAACCAAGGTTATAAGCGGAGTAGGAAGTTAGAAAGAAGAGCTGGAAGTTGGTAGAACACATATTGAGGAAAGCATTCAAATGCGTCACAAGACAAGCCATCACTTGAAATCCTCCAGGCCAGAGAAAAAGAGGTAGACTAAAGAACACATTACGCCAAGAAATGGAGACAGACATGAAAAGAATGAACGACAATTGAACAGAACTAGAAAGGAAGTCCATGAACAGATTAGGTTGGAGAATATTGGTCGACCGCCTATGCTCCGTTGGGGGTAGCAGGCATGAGTAAGTAAGTAAGCAAGTGAATCAAACCATTATCACCTAAGCGCAAAAGTCAATGGCTTTCTATACTCAGTAGTAACGTGGATAACGCGACAGCGTTTGGTACGAATAACACTAGATTCGAGTCTCAGAGTGAATATCAACTCAAGATGCAGGTATATATCATCTTAGAACATTTTCCACCTTGTTTGCTACAACGAAATGAATATTTTTTTGCGGTCTTACTCCACTTTGAACTAACGATTGAATATGCTATGAAATAAATCTCTCCTATAATTTCCACCTCGTTTGTGCGACGGCGGTAATGAGAAGCTCAGCAGGATTTTATGTGGATGAATATATTTCATAATTCATGTGAACATACGACAGACAAGAGAATGCAAGGTAAAGTGAAGTGGAGAAGGCAAGTGGCCAAACTCTATGTGATGATGAGGTATAACGAAGTATTTGTAGTCAGACAAAAAATAAGCCTGACATACAAATAATGAATATACTCTTACTGAAGTAGAAACAGACAAGGTTATAAGCGAATAAATAGACAAGGTCAAAAGATACAGCGAATGGTAACTCGATTAGAATCAATTAATTTGGTTTATCCAAAGGCTGTGACATGCCATATGGGTTGGGAAAATTCAGTACACTTACTGCAAGTTGTAAGCAGGATACTTGTTATGCCTACACGTAAACACGTCAACTTGATTTACTTGAACTATTACGAGTTCACGTTAGTCGGAAAACGAGAGCGAGGATCGACGATCCGGTGAGACGACATGATACTCATATCTGATTATCCCAACCCCCATATTGAGTAAAATACAGAAGACTTGAATGTGAGGTAGAACCTGTATTCTACAAGCATCCAGAAAGTACGAGGTCTGAGTCCAGAAGAGAATCAGGATTCCGGACTAGGGATCCGGGTCCTGGTCTCGGTCATAAAACGTTACAAATAATGCGTATTTATACATTTTGGTCGAATAGGAAACGGCATCGAATTCTGTGACATTGACATTTAGGACGACCAATCGGAAGTAACATTTGAAGTGACATTGATAGTCAGGACAACCAATAATAAACACCATTGGAGCACGTGACATTGATATCTAAGACGACCATAAAATTGACCAGTAGGAATCAACCAATAGGAATTGACAAACAATCCTCTTAGGATATTGGATGAATATCCTAACAAGACAGTTGTTGATTATTTTTAGATGAGCAATAAATAAACGAAATAATTTCTTCAATATTCATATTGTGGTGTGTGCTACTTATACGAACAATATAAGTAGTATAAGAAGGGTAGTGAAAGAAGTCTCACGGTCAGAAGAGGAAAACGGAAAGCAAATGGAGCAAAAGCAAGAAGTAAATGGAGTACCAACAGGAAGTAAAGGAAGCAACAGCAGGAATGGAAGAAGGATGGAGCGTTGGAAGTCACGACTCAAAGATGGTGTGCGAATAGAGTATTCAATGTAATGTTTTCGTTTTGTTATGCAATTCCTCTTCCAATGTCCGGTTCCTCCGCAAATATAGCATTTATTATTTCTTCCACCCTTTATGCTTAATGCTGCCACCTCGCGTTGTGATTCTTCTATCTTCTTTGCGATATCATCATCCTGTCTTTCACACACCACCGAGGCGACTGTTGAGTTCATCAGTTGTCTTGTTACTTTAGCCAGCTCGGTGACGTCCATTGGTTGTGCCGCGTCCACCAGTCCCAACTGTTGGGCAACCTCTGCAGGCACACTTTCAATGAATTGCGACGCTAGCAGCTGTGCTTGTGACTCCTCATCCAAATTCGGCAGACCCCGGCGCAGCAATCTTGTCAACTCCACAGCCAGCACGAGTGGGTCGCTATCCACCCGTCAGTCTCGCCTCTCGGAAATTCTGCAGCGCGTCCTGCTTTCCGCCGGGCTGTCGAACTCCACCAGCAGCCTTTCCGTCATCACCTCTCAGTTAGCGTCCTCCAAACCATTGTACACCGCTCTCGCCCTGCCTCTTAGTAGAGTCCCCAACACCACCACCTTCGCCCTCTACTCCTTGACTCCTACCAGCTCTGCCACGGCCTCGAACTCCTTCAAGAAGCTCCTTACATCTCCGTCTTCAAACTCCCGAGGCCACAGGATCTTCATCCTGTGTAGAGGAAGCGACACCAATCGAGAAGACTGAGGCAGGCGCGGATGATTGTATTATACAAATTTACACTCTTAGTCAATTAAAAACGAAAACATTACATTGAATGCTCTATTCGCACACCATCTTTGAGTCGTGACTTCCAACGCTCCATCCTTCTTCCATTCCTGTCGTTGCTTCCTTTCCTTCCTGTTGGTACTCCATTTACTTCTTGCTTTTGCTCTATTTGCTTTCCGTTTTCCTCTTCTGACCGTGAGACTTCGTCTTTCACTTCCCTTCTTATACTACTTATATTGTTCGTATAAGTAGCACAATCCACAATGTTAATTAATCTATCTAGCGTTATCTTTGTCATATTCCAGTTTTAATTCATATCAGAGTAAACATAAGAAGTTTGTTTTATGCTATATATAGCTAACCACTACTATACATTCTGCTTTCATTGTTATTGGTTTTATGTTTTAAACATTACGGGTGTTTAAATGAACGTTTATTACACGAAATGGATTATTGATTTCTTCATGCAAAAGGTCGTTTGTTCTTGATTCAAAGTTTACAGTTTTTAGTTTCGTTTGCGTATTTCATTTAGATAATTTATAAACACTCTATTTCTTCTTTACTCTCACAGTCACTCTCTGTCCGTCTGTCTGTCTGTCTGAAGTACGTTTTTTCTGAATCAAAATGATTTAAAACTCACTGTTACTGCATATCAAAGTATTGTGAATTGTGATATAAGATTACCTTTTCCAGAAACCAGTATTGTAGATAGCATAACATGTTTGAGACAGCTCCAAGAAAGCTTTAGGAGTTACCAAGTATTCAAAGAGTTTCCATTCAATCACTGCTTGACAGAATTCGTAGAATTTCGATATTGTGTTTGGTATACTGTGACTGAATGATAGTGTAATGTCTCTATTTTCTAACTGGCCATCTTCTCTCGTCTTGTAGATTTAAACTGAAGTTATTTGAAGTGGATAGGAAGCTGAATAGTGAATTCATTTAGTAAACATATTATTAAATAGTAATCATTAAGTTTGTTAATACTAAAGTTGGCAATTTACAAGACCCCGTTTGCTGAAGATTTCCAGACTCTCATGTTGGCATATTTAAAACTTATCATCTTGAATATCAACCTTGTTATAATCAAATTTCTTGCGTAGACAAGATATCGGTTTCTTAAACAAAGGACAAGTGTACTGCGCAGCACTTCTCTCCGTCATGTTATATGGATGCCAGACATAGCCGGTAAGAGTAGAGGATATTTGTAGGTTACTGCTGTCCGATCATAGGTGTCTTCGAAACATTGCTCGTACATCCTGAGACCATCAATTAGGCAAAGGTGTTGTTAAGAAACGAGTACTAGATAAGGATGACAGAACAGTTGATGAAGTATTCAAACCCCATCGACTGAGGTGGTTTAGACATGTGTTACGTATACCAAACCTACCACCGACTTCCTCGACTCGCTATGTTTTGTGGTGTAGGAGTAGGTTGGAAGAAAGCTAGGGGCGGTCAGACTAAAACACGGTAGAAGTCTATGAAGTCGCTGACAAGTGGAGTGAGCCATATTGACAGATGCAGACTACCTGGTTGGGGTCCGCGGGACGAAAGTCACCAATGATTAGAGACCTTGAATGACATGACTCAAAATTGTTTGCAATGGCACAGGTGCATCCACACTTTGTGTTCTCTGAAATTCTAACCTTCTGAATTCCTCATCACCTCTATCTTCCTCTCTTAAGTTATCTCACTGAATTATACTTCTTGAGTAATATCTCCGAACCATAATCTTCCCCATTACTATTATTACTTCTAATATTTCTACAACATTGGTATTCGAACTGACAATTGCATCTCTGTGCTAATGTGGTATGGCAACATGAGCTTATGAACGTACGTACAAAGTTCTACGTTGTAACTGACTGACTGACTGACAAACGTTTGCAAATTATGAAACCTTTTTTTAACCCTTTAAACTGATAAATTCACATGAAACTATTAAATTTTAACACAAAGCATTATACTACTTGTTTTAAACGTTGCCTTTTATAAACACCGCTAATAAAAATCTCCTTAGCTCTACTATGTATGCGCCATTGTGTTATTTATTATTCAGCTCATGATAATCTACAGCCTTGGTGCTTTAATGTCCTTCTAACATTAATCATGATGTCATAAGCTTTTTTCCTATGCATGCATTCTTTTTTCGGAGGGTGGAAATTGTAGTATGTTGGTGTAATATTTTCTTGGGTAGTGTCATTCATTTGTCATCAAAAAAATCATATCATTTAAACTAATTTCATCAATTTATTTTAACGATATTTATATTTTTACAATAAAGTATCATAAAAATCGGTGTTTTACATTGAAATCGTGAGTTTGCTTAGTAATGACCAGCTTGGTGAGGAAATTCTAGTGAGTTCTAGTGAGAAGACATGACTATTGGCGTTCAGACCTGTGGAGTGTAGGCAGTAACTGCGGAAGACAATGGGTGACGTGCAAGTCCAAAGGTCTTGGGTTCGGATGCTATGAGTAGCTGGAGTCATGGGTAAGCAGTGCCACTGATGAGTCTCATACTAGGACGAAACGGGTTCACCTTAGTTGAATAACGAGAACAAAACAATGAACTGGAGTGCAGGTAGGCTACTGTGATCCCTAGACCAAAAGGTATCAGCAAGAAGTCTTGATATAGTGTAGAAATTGTATTCTACAAATAACCAGCCAGCACACAATCAATCCAAGCACTCAAATTGCGTTTATTTATACTCCATAGAGACATTCTTAGGACAGTCACAAAAATAGCTTACTAAAGTGACACAGTAACCAATCACAGCCCAGGATTTTCGTGGTGGAAAATGTAATCTCAAGGTCAACTGACTGGTCCATGAAATCGATCTACTAAGCGAGTTCTGGGGATCTAACATCCCCAACAAGAACGTAAATCCAATATTACGATTAATCTATTTGACAGTTGAATTATTATAACGATGTGCTGATTTACTTTTTTATGGTCAGTCCAGTTTTTTTTTAAATTAATTTAATTGTAAAAATATCACATTTTAAAAATACAAATGTTTGTACGTGGTTTTTTGTTTAGGTCAGATCCAACGATGTTAAGTACATCACAATCTCGTCTACAACAGGGTTTCTTTACGCTGAGTCCAGCTAGTGGACTTATTCCTCCTGGTAATGCACAAATTATTACAGTTGATTGTTTGGCTAATACATTGGGTCAATGTGTAGAAGTAAGTTGTTAATTTTAAGAGTTTTGGAATTGAGTATTTTTCTTTGGTTTTTTTAGAGTTTTTCATATTGTCATAGTAAACTTTTTAACATTGTTGAGATTTACAGTGTAGGGGTTGTAGAGATTGTTGAGTTACTTTTTGAAATCGTGAATCGAGCAATGTTAGACCATCATTAGAAATGTGTAAGTATTGGATGGTCGTTTCATCCCAGCAAAGGATTTATCAGCAGCGTGCATCCACGACTCCTGCTACTGACAGCATTCGAACCTAGTGGCTTTGGTCTTGCTTGCGAACGCTTCAATGTGTGTCCAATCTCTACCTCCAGCGCTTAATCCTGATTTCTTCACCTGATGGATTCTGATTTGAACTCTCCTACATTATTTTGCGTGCACTACTGTTAATGAACACTTGTATTTTCTGGATGACAGCCTTCGTAGTTCTCCAAGTTTCCGCCCTGTATATTAGGACTGTTTTGACATTTGTATTGAAAAGGGTGACTTTGATGTTGGTTGATAGTTGTTTTGAGTTGCATATGTTCTTAAATTGAAGAAATGCTCTCTTTGCTTTGCCGATCATTGCCTACACATCTATCCACATAAGATCCGCCTTGCTCATCAGTGATGCTGTTCAGATATGTGAAGGCTTTTACGTGCTCCAAGGCATCTTTATCGAGAGTGATTTAGTTGGTGAATGTTGTGTTCTATCGGAGAGTACAGTATATTGTACTCAATAGAGAATAATTATCCATCTTATCGAGTATCAAATTAGACTCTTGCTACGACTGAAACAATAATTATTACCATTAATTACATTTGTTTTGGTTTGAATCATTCTGCTGTTGATATTTTGATCAGTCTTAGTTGAAATTTGTACATCTTGTACGAACTGAATTATGTTCTATAGCTATTCTGCAAAAACTTGTGTTATGCATATATATATTAACTAAGACTGATGAAAAGTCATTTAAATTGTCAGTGATAGGACAATCCAACCCAATACAAATTAAATTGAAATTCATATCCGTCGCACAAGCGATCGATTGTTAGGGCCAGTTAATTAAGTGGATAATGTGTTAGCGTTTGAAGCGAACAGCTTTGGGTTCGAGTTCCGGAGTGTCTAATAAGATTCAGTCACATCCAGCTGACAAGTACCAATTAGGGTGTAACTTCAGTCTCTGGTTAGTTTTCATGTAGCCAGGAACCTTGTGCGCTGGGAATGTGTGTGGAGCAGTGTACGACGTTACCTGGAAGAGGAAAGAACAAGAGAAAAACAAGTGAACCGACGACTCAATAAGCACATAGAATCAATGCACTTACATTTAATAGAGAAAGCAATCGACAGCAATCAGAAATAACGTGAGCTCAAGAACATGACAAACTGAAAATGGAAACTGAAAGTAGGTAGAGTTAGGTTTCGAATGCTTTACAAGGACAAAATGCGCGTCCTGAATTTCATTGCCAGCTGAATTCCATTTTATTAGAGTTGTGAAGATTAGTGTTTTTAGACATTTGAAATCAACAATCAATCATTGTCAGAACACCATTAGAAACCTGAAAGCACTGGACGACCATTTTGTCCTGGTATAGGACTCATCAGTGGCAGTGTACATCCACAACTCCTGCACCTCGCAAGACTCGAAACTGGGACCTTCTGTCTTGTGCGCAAGCGCCTAACATCTGGACCACTGGGCCCAGTACCCAAGGGTGTAAAGTGTCTAACTTTGATTGATCTAGGGATTTTGCGTGACCTCATCTATTTGTCTTTGATAGTTACTGCCTACACTCGACAACGTTGTAATCCACTGATCACATCTTCTCACTAGGAACTCCAAGAATTTCCTCCATTCATTTTAAAAATACTATTATTATGATTAGTAGTGACAATAATCCTACTCATGTCAATAAGTTTTCTTTCTTTGTTGTTAGGAATTGGCGATTGAAATATCTGATCGTGATATGAAATTATATCCACATGGAATATCATATTATCTTAAGGCTGAAGGTGATCTACCATTGATTGAAACCAATGATGTTTCAGTGATATTTGAAGAACATCATGTTTGTAAAAATTTGAACGTTCTCGATTTACCTGATCTATCGAATATGGTATGTAAATATTGATGTGAATTATTTATGTTATTCATTGTTATTATTGGGTTCGTCACTAAGTACGCTTGAAGCTATTAAGAGTTCACCTTAGTCGATAAACGCGAACGAGACAATTACCAGCGTCTGAATAGGCTACCTTGAATCCCAAACTACGAAACAGAAGTCTTGATAAGCGTATAAAGTATATTCTACAAACACCAAGCAATCACAGTAAAATCAAGCACACAACTCTCGTTTATTTATACATCATAGAAACGTCCTTGTGACAGTTACGAAAATAGCACACTAAAATACACAGCAGCCAATCATAGCCATGGATTTTCTTGGTGGGAAATGAAATCTCAAGGTCAACTGATCATCACATGCTTGCAAACGTGAAATTCAAAATAATTCATTTATCAAGCGAGTTCTGGGGATCTAATATCCCCAAAAGTTATGCAGTGTAATGAAAAACTGTGAACCGATCCAAATTAGAATTGTTTCATCGTACCATGGAACTCTTCCATAATCATGTTTTTATGCTCGTCACTTGATATGCTTGAAACTATTACCGGTTCACCTTAGTCGATAAACGAGAACGAGACAATGAACCAGAGTCCAGGTAGACTACTCTGATTCGTTGGCCCAAAGGCACTAATGAAAAAGTCTTGATATAGCGTAGAAAGTGTATCCTACAAATACCTAGCCAGCACATAATGAGTCCAAGCACTCAAATTGCGTTTATTTACACTTCATAGAGATGTCCTTAGGACAGTCACAAAAATAGCATACTAAAATAACACAGTAACCAATCACAGCCAAGGACTTTCCTGTTGAGAAATGTGATCTCAAGGTCAACTGAATGGCCCATCAAAAAATCCAAAATAAAGATATTTATCAAGCGAATTCTGGGGATCTAACGTCCCCAACACCTGTAGGTGATAATCGAGTTCAAAACTGTAGCACCTCACCATTCATTCATTACACTAACTTTAATGATTAGTTGTTTAAATTACTCGATCGTTGGGTCGACCATTTTTTGTACTTGTAATAATTCGACAGCATTATCGATTATTGATTATGTATGTGCTCGCTTACTCGCTTATTAAATATCCAGTCTATTATTACCTGACTATAAATACTATAAATACTGACTATAAATATTAGTTATTGATTCAGCGCATGAGAGTTCGCTCACTTGTCTTTTCCGATTCTCTCCGCTTTACATTCTCATGTCTGTCTGCTTAAATGAACGCAAAACCCTTAATTGGCTTCTTATTACCACGGTCTCACAAACGGGGCTCGCCTAAGTATGTGATATACGGAAACGGAAAGGAAGGTTCATCTCATCGCATACTCGACAATTCATCCTATTGGAGTCAAGTTACGGGCCAATAAATAATTGGTGAGCCTTACTTCGAATTTAACACGAGCCACTTAAAGATCTTTGGTCTTGCATGTGAATGTTGAACTTCTGAACTACTGAAGTATGATCTACTGGTATGATTTGATATTTTCCCACCATTCTCCATTGTGTAGGGACGGCAACTTCCTTACTCTCAACACTGTTAAGCATCATTGCACCAGGCTTCTACCGGTCTTCTACTGGTTGTCTAACTTAAGTTCTGTTTGTTGATTCCTATAAAACTTTGTTAAACATTTGGTGTAAAAGCTCTGCGCCGGATCCCATGTGACGTCATATTTATGGACTACAGGACAATATTATACGGCGGATATCCATTGTATACATGTTTCCAGTGTAACTTTAGCTAAAAATCAATATCGTTTATCTCCATTGATGTTTCGTATTTACTTGCACTTGTCGTACAGATGTGACCTCTGCTCGGGAACTCAGGGATGAGCGGGACATGGTCTTTCAAAGTAAAGAATATTCTTATTCTACTAGTATTTGACCTCAAATGTCCTGACTATGTTGGGGCCTCCAGCCGAGCAAAGGTGAAGCTAGACATACGGTACTAGAAAAAGATGATAAATAGTTTGACAAGGTGATGAATTTTCTTCAGCTGAGATGGTTGAGATATGGATATGCTATGTTTAACTACCATCTACACCAAAGAACATTGTTGACCAAAGTGATAATACATTGGGAAAAGTAGATCTGTATTCGAACCTAGACGGGACACTTGTCTTTGAAGTGACTGATTATTGAACTTGAACCTTGTTGATGATACGTGGAGATTATCCGGTTAGCGTCGGGGAGATTTCCATAAGCAATGGTTGAAAATGTTGCCTAGAATCGTTTACGATGATTCAAATACATTTGCTTTTTATCACTCCGCAGATTATGAGTAGAAGACCTGCTTTACACCATATATTGAGGGAATTTATTCTTTTCAACTCAAATTTCTTCATCCCGAATATTTTCCTGCTATCGCTGATACTACTACTACAATGTTTAAATTCATTTTCACAAAGTCATCTTGTTGTGATGATATGGTGTGATTACTAAAACTGAGTTACATTTTGTTGGGGACGTTAGATCCCTACAACTCACTTGATCAAGATCCCAATTTTGGATTATATGCTTTCGCAAATGAGCTGATAAGTTGACCTTGAGGTTACGTTTCCCACCAGGAAAATCCTTGACTGTTATTGGTTGATGTATTATTTTAGTAGGCTATTTTTGTGGCTCTCCCAAGGACGTTTCTACGATGTATAAATAAACTCGATTTGTGTGCTTGTCAAGCTCGATTTTCTGGACGCTTGTAGAATACACTTTCTACGGTCTTGTCAAGACTTCTTCCTCTATTTAGTGAGGCATTCGGATGCTCGAATTAGAGTAGCCTATCATGTCACTGGATCATCATTGTCTTCGCTCTCGTTTACCAACTCATAATAGTTTCAAACATATCAATCGACAAGCATAACGCATTTGTCGTACACTCTATATTACTTATCACTAACTGACTGATTGAGTTACAAAATCGTTCACTCCTGTTTTAATGAAAACAAGAAGAAATATTTTTTCCTGTTTATTTATTGTAAACTTCCTTTCATTTTCTTTCGTAGATCTCATCTGGTAGTATTTATGGCATTGAAGAGAATCGTTTTGTTTATAGAAATGTTCTGGTTGGTTCACGTGTTGTAGCACGTTTTCGTATAGCTAATCGAAGTAATGTTCCGGTGGATGTGTCATATGAAATTTGTGCCATTGGAAAAACACCTAGTTCCTCTAATCCATCATCAAGTGGTCGTTCCAGTAGTCGAAATAGTCAACAATCTACAACGTACGATGCATTTGAAGTGATACCAGAGAAAGCACAAATTGAACCACATGCATCGAGTTATGCAAATGTTACATTTGCACCGACATCTATGCAAGTAAGTATGTTTTTTTTAAATCAGAATAAATTGACAATTGAACTGAGTCATGTTAACAGGTAGAGACTATGTGTTTGGGGGGTCCGCATGATCATTGTCACTAATAGTTAGAGATTTTGGACAGAATGACTGATGTATTCACTCCTTGTCTATAGCTTAGTACTTAATAAGTTTCTAATTTCCTGATAATTTTTGCCGCCTGACTAGTTTGTGTATTTTTGCGAATCCTACCTCCGATGCCTACCTAACTGTTTCCGGATATTGTTTCTGCTACACATTTTGAGATCATGAATCGATCACTGTTGTTAGACCACCATTACAGACCTTGAAGCACTGGATGGGCGTTTCGTCCTGAAATGGGACTCATTAGCAGTGCGCATCTGTTCCTACTACTCCGGAATTCACTCTAACCATTTGATTTTACTGTGCTCATAGAGTATGAATTAGTAGAATTCATAAACAAGTGTGTAATTTTCTATGTTGCGTTTGACTGACTATTTGGCAATGAGTCGCTGATATTAAAATAATACGTTTTGGGCATTAGTGGGTTTTTCGGACTTGTTTACTTGTTCATCTTTGATACTGCCTAACTGATTATGCCGATGACATAGTTCTACTTGATGAAGACGCTGACAAAATGCAAAGTCTTCTGACTACCCAGAGCCATAATGTAAGCGTATTTGGGATGCGATTCTCCCTCTTGAAATGCAGAATGTTGCTTTAGGATTGGCTTGCGTCGGCGCGTAAACCAGTAATAAGGAGTGAAGCAGTTGAGCATGCTGACCACTTCAATAGTCTCGGGAGTCTTATCAGTGCTGATGGCCTGGTGACCGATGAAATTTTAGCATGGATACAAAAGGCTCGATTGGCTCTTGCCAACTTGCGTCCACTAAACAGTAGTTCCATGGCCAGTCAGAGTAGAAGATATTCAAAGGTTACTGGTATTCGATCATAAGTTTGTTCGAAGCATTGCTCGTTTATCTCGGGACAACCGAATAAGCAATACCTTTGTTAGCAAACAAGTACGAGGTAAGAATGGTAGATCAATAGATGAATTATTGAAACTTCATCATTTGAGTTGGTTGGGACATGTGTTAGGTATGCCTAACCATCGGCTCCCTTATCGAGCTATGTTTTGCGGTATAGGAGTAAGTTGGACGAAAGCTAGGGACGCCCAGACTAAAACATGACACAAATCCATGAAGTCACTGATAATTGAACTGAGCCACGTCGGTAGATGCAGACTACCTGGTGTGGGTCCACGAGACGATAGTAATTGATGGTTAGAGACCCTGAGTGACATGTTTCGAAATCGTTTGCAATGGCGCAGGTGCAACCATTCTTTGTGTTCTCTGAAATCATCTCTCTGGGTTCTTCATCACTTTTCTATCCTTCTTTTTAAGTTTATTTCACTAGTTTATACTCCTCGAATAATATCTTCGAAAATGCCTGAGCCTATCAAATACACTTTATACACACAACTTATGTTCTCATTCGTTCATTAATATGCTAATCGGATTCTAATACGTATATTGTCTACATTTATAGACTACAGTCATACGTATAAACTACCTTACGGATATTTACATTAACTGTATTACAGATCTTCTATGATTGTGGATTTTTTAGTACCAATCACATACGAACACGCACAAGCAGCCGTATAAAGTAACGTTCTTACATTTTGTGATTGTATTTATTACATTTAATCGATATATTTCAATATACATCTGTTTGTATTCAATAACTTTGTTGATATTTTGAAATAATACATTGATTGGTCCACCACAACTGTTGAAACAAGTAACTGCGTTCAATTATGTGCAAACCTACAGGTATATAAAAAAATTAAAAATAACACAGTAACATCAGTTGAAAATTATTTAAAATGATACTCACTTTAACGGGGAGCCACTGGAAAATCCCATAAAATACAGATGTTGCCAACAAAATTCCAAAAATCTATAGCAAAAATAAGGAAAAGTGCAGTTAATTATCCCAACAAATTGTGCAAGCAGTCAAAAACAGAAAAGTTTGCCAATAACATAGAAACAACAGTTCAACTTTATTTGTATATATTCTTACAGCATAGAGCAGTCCAACTCCAGACCAAATCTAGAAAAAAAAAAGTAGATCAACCAATAGTTAAGAATTTGTGTACAATACATTTGTAGCATTTACGATAAATTCTTGTCATAGTGTTGCCTAATAACACTGTGTTGACTGATTTAGTTTCTAGCTCTCAGATGCCTTGTCTCACTTGTCTTTTGATCTTGTCTATAATAAGTCGCTTTTATTCAATCATGTGCTTGCCTATCTCACTTAATACATGTCAGCAGTATTTCTGTATGATCACACAATATAAGTGACGCTTTATCTACTTCGATCGGCTCACTAGCCTTCTCCATTACACTGCATTCATGCAACCGAAGTGTGGCTCGAGGCCAGTTGAACTGATCCCTAAAGTGTTTTGCCCATCGGTCCAGCCTCCTAGATTGAGAATGGATAATAAGACAATACTTTTCCGAGATAGTCTCACCCACATTGGGGTTCCTAATACCGGTTTCTTTAATAAGGCGGAAAAGTTGTCTAGTGTTGCCGATCGCCGCTGCCTTCTCCATCGCTTTTGCATTCGCTACCCACCACTGTCCACGGTCGTTACGTAGGCTTTTTATAAGTCTGCGCCTAAGCTGACTACGCTCTTCATCATGTTCAGAGTCAGGTGGGATGCGTTTTCGAGCATCCATCAGTACGGTGGATGCGACTGAAATCCACTGCTTCATCCTAGCCTTGTGGTTTACCTTGCTAGCACATACCATTGCTGTTTCCACAGCCTTCATGATATGATTCCAACCTGCTTCAGGATGAGAATCACTCTCATGGCCGCCTAACTGTTTTTCTAGTTCTTCCTGAAATATTTTCTTAGCTTGACTATCATCACGTAAAGCCCTAAGAGGCTTCCTTACGGTGTCTTTCCTACGTCCAGCAAGCCTCAAACAAATACGTGCTCGCACGAGGGCATGATCTGAATCTAAACATGTGCCACGGCGCACAAGCGACTATCTACAGGGATCCAGTCAAGGAGAGATTGTTCTGCCCTACGACTCATTGCTATACCTACACCGGCGAGGCCCCTAGGAGCAGCATCAGGGCTACCGGATACACGAAGGGTAAATCGAGCTGCATCTTTATCTTGACATGGTGAGGTCAAATGAGTGATGCTACTCGGATCCTGTATGCGCGTTTCCGAGACGCAGCACACATCGATGGAACGAGATTCTAAAGTCCTAGCTAATGATGCCTGTTGCCCTATTTGACACAATGTCCGTACATTAAAAGCTCCAACATGTAGTTTAAAACGGGGTTTAAGGAGACCAGGAACGACGTTTCGTGAACTCGCATCGTTTGCATTAGCTGTGCACTGTAATGAATGAATGTGAGAAGAGTTAGTCGTGGAGATAAGAGAGGTACTAGGGGGTGTAGGAAGGATTTGATTTTGACCAATTTGGTCTCGCATGCTGTTACGGGGATGAGGCCGGTTGTCACTTCCTGGCTGCCCACAACGTGGAAGGTTGTTTCTTGAGGAACCTGAAAAGGAAGATAGATTAGTGTTGTTGCGTGACCGCAGAGTCCAAGGGACAACTGCTTGAGGCCGGTCACGCACGGCCTTTTCATGAAATGTTTTTTGAGGATTAGCTCCGTTCTTAAAGACCCTTAGTGGGCACCCTTACCCAAGGAGACGGAAATCCGTGAGTTAGGGGAGGTGTGACAATTTTAGGGCCGACCATTTCTAACCCTTCCTTCCTTGTGAGAAGGCAGCATCGCTGCACATGCTGGTTGTCCGAGGGAAACACCTTACTGCTGTCACACCCCTCTGCAGTCAGCAGTACGACTTCGCCCTCAGACCTTGGGTAGCTGCTTTTAGTCTCATCGTTCTCCAATCGACCTGTCTGGCATGGTAGAACCTTGAGAAACATATGTTCCAGCCAGTATAGCTCGGTTGGATCATCACGATAGGCAAGCCCGACCACCACGTCAAAGTAGTAGCTACGGTCGGGTGAAATCACGAATTCATGAATTCGATAGCCAGTGCGTTTGCCCTAATCTGTGTTTGTTTGTTCTGCTGGCCAATGTGTGATACGTCACCAATAAACGTATTCAGTGCCCTCGTGTTGCCTTCCGACATATAACCGAGAGGCACCATATTGCGAACGTTGTCTCAACGAGTAAATTACGAACACTTAGAAAACGTTGAAAATCAAACGTCACAAAATTAGTGACTGAATGTCCAAAAAAACATGCAATTACACAATTTACACATGTTTATCACGCTGATGTTTACTAAGTAAAACTTAAAAACAAATATTCACTGCAATCAATATGCAGTTACAGTTGTGGAAAACACACAGGGCAACATTTACAAAAACGACCATATCCGCTACATTCACACCTATTGAACACAAACGATCTTTATTAAAAAGGATACTTACATTGCTGGCTCGCTGCTTCGCAAATGCTTCCACGAGCGACACTCTTTCTTCAACCTGCAACAGATACAGCAATAGAAAGAAAGTTATTTCTTGTTACATAGTTGCCAAATAACACAACCAAAAACAATCGATTACCATATTCACAATAAGTCAGTCGGTTGCAACATAGAACTTCGTACGTATGTACATAAGTTCAGGTTGCCATACCACATTGGCACAGAGAGGCAAATGTCAAATCAAATCCAATAGTGATAGAGATAGTAGAGGTATTAATGGTAAATGGGAAGACTAGGGTTTGAAGATATTATTCAAGAAGTATAATTCAGTGAGATAATGTTAGCAAGACAAATGTAGAGGTGCTAATGAATCCAGAAGATTAGGATTTGAGAGAGCACAACGAATGGATGCACTTGCGCCATTGCAAACGATTCTAAGCCATGTCGTTAAACGTCTCTAACCGTTGGTGACTTTCGTTTCGCTGACCCCCAACCAAGTAGCCTACATCTACCAACATGACTCGGTCCACTTGTCAGTGACTTCATGGGTTTCTGTCATGTTTTGGTCTGGCCGCCAATATCTTTCTTCCAACGTATTCCTACACCACAAAACATAGCCCGTCGAGGCTGTCGGTAGTTTAGCATTCGCAACACATGTCCCAACCACCTCAACTGATGGTGTTTCATTACTTCATCTATTTATTTGCCATCCTTAACTAGTACTCATTTCATAACGACAGCATTGCTTACTCAATTGTCCCACGATACACGCGCAATGCTTTGGAGTCATCTATGACCGAATACCGGTAACCTACGAATATCTTCTACTCTAAACGGTCATGTTTCGCATCAATATATCAGAACGAAGCGAACTGCTACTCATTACAACCGTCCTTTGGTTGAAGAACGGATATCTCGCCTACGCCATAAGTGACGCAAGATGGCAAAAGTCATTCGAGCTTTCTGTATCCGTGCTGAGATTTCATCAGTCATCAGCACTGATGAAACTCCCAAGACAAGTGAAGCGGTTAACACGCTCGACTACTTCACTCCCTATCACTAGTTCAGGTGCCAATGCAACCCAATCTTCAAGCAACATTTTGCATTTCGAGGGGGAAAACCGCATCCCGAACATGCTTACATTGTTGCTTGGGGTAGTCAGAAGACTCTGCATTTTGTCAGCGTCTTCACCGAGTAGAACTATGTCATCGGCATATTCTAAGTCAATAAACAAGCCTTCAAATAGAAGATGTACTCCAGAAAAATCTGACGAGGTTAATGTTAACTATAGGAGTATGTAATGGTGGACCCAACTAGATCACGCTGCCATCAGCCACTGATGGGGGGAGGTTCAGTAAAGGACTGTCGCACGTTCTAGGACACATGTTTAGATTCAGATCATGTCCTAGTACGAGCGCGTATTTGTTTGAAGCATACTGGACGTAGGAAACACCGTGAGAAAGCCTCCCAGGGTTTTACGCAATGATAATAAAGCTAAGGATATATTTCAGGAGCAACTAGAAAGGCAGTTAGGCAGCATATGAGCGGTTCCAATCCGGAAGCAGGTTGGAATAATATCGAAAAGGCTGTGGAAACAGCAGTGATATCTGCTACTAAAGTAAACCATAAGGCTATAATAAAGCCGTGGAACTCCGTACCATCTACCGAACTGATGGATGCTCGAAAACTCACCCCTACTGGCTCTGAGTGCGATGAGGAGCGGAGTCAGCTTGGGCGCAGGCTAACCAAAAGCCTACGCAATGATCGAGAACAGTGGTGGGTGGCGAAAGCGAAGGAGATGGAAAAAGCAGCGGAGATAGGCAACAGTAGGCAACTATTCAGCCTTGCCAGGGAAACTGGCATTAGGAACCCAAATGTGAGTGAGACTATTTCGGAAAAGAATGGTCTGATAATCCATTCTCAATCCAGGTACTGGACCGATGAGCAGAACCCTTCAGGGTTCAGTTGCACTAGCTTTCAGACACCAGCACGGATACAGAAAGCTCCATATGCTTTTGCAAATTTACACAAGTTTATGGTGTAGGCGAGATATTCGTTTGCTAACCAAGGGACGGGTGTACTGCGCAACAGTTCGCTCCGTTCTACATTATGGATGCGAAACATGGCCGTTAAGAGTAGATGTTCTTAGGTTACTAGTATTCGATCATAGATGTCTTAGAGGCATTGCTCGAATATCGTGGTACAACCGAGTAACCAATGTTGTTGTTAGGAAACGAGTACTAGGTAAAAATGGCAGATCTACAGATGAAGTAATGAAACACCATCAGTTGAGGTGCCTAACCACCAACTGCCTAGATGAGCTTTGCTCTGTGGTGTAAGAATAGGCGGCCAGCCCAAAAGATGGCAGAAACCCATGAAGTCACTGACAAGTGGACCGAGTCATGTTGGTAGATGTAGGCTACTTGGTTGGGGGTCAGCGAAACGAAAGTCACCAACGGTTAGAGACGTTTAACGACATGGCTTAGAATCGTTTGCAATGGCGCAAGTGCATCCATTCGTTGTGCTCTCTCAAATCCTAATCTTCTGGATTCATTAGCACCTCTACATTTGTCTTGCTAACATTATCTCACTGAATTATACTTCTTGAATAATATCTTCAAACCCTAGTCTTCCCATTTACCATTAATACCTCTACTATCTCTATCACTATTGGATTTGATTTGACAGTTGCCTCTCTGTGCCAATGTGGTATGGCAACCTGAACTTATGTACATACGTACGAAGTTCTACGTTGCAACTGACTGATTGAGCTTTCAGCCACACTTCGGCTACCCACGATCTCCAGTCACACTGAATAGCCTATTGATGTAAGTCCCCCCAATTGTTTATGAAGTTGAGAAAGCGATAGGAAATCTGAAGCGAGGGCGAGCTGCAGGACCTGATAGACTAACCCCTGAGATATTGAAGAATGGTGGTCCAGTTTTAGCAGCTAGGTTGACTGAGATCTTAGGTAGAGTCTGGGAACTGGATGTAATTCCATCCGAGTGGTCTCATTCACTGACTGTCCCGATTTACAAAAATGACAAAAGTCTTCTTGTGACAATCACAGGGGAATAAGTCTGACGAATATAGTTTCTAAAATATTGGCCTCAATAATACTTAGACGCTTAACAAAAACTCGTGAAGAGCGGACTACATAAAACCAGGCTGCTTTACGACCTTGACGTGACTGTATAGACCACACTTTCACACTCAGACAGGTCCTGGAACACAGACACACATTTAGGCGTCCTACAATAGTAGTGTTCCCGAACAATTTGGAAGCCATATTAGTGAAACTTATTCCTCTGTGATTGTCACAGGGAAATGCTGCCTAACTCCGTTGCTAGTTGCTCCGGAAAATATCCTTAGCTTTACTATTATTGCGTAAAACCCTGGGAGGCTTCCTAACGGTGTTACCTACGTCCAGTATACTTCAAACAAATACCCGCTTGCACTAGGGCACCATCTGAATCTAAACACATGCCTCAGAACGAGCGACAGTCCTCGGTCCGGTCAGCAGTATAGGCATTCACCATTCAACAAAAACAACAATAAATAACTTCCCATCTTAACTACTTAAAAATTGCATTTCAAAAAAACCATATAACTGTTTCAATGGCATTTCATATCTGCTACACAAAACAAGCATTATTAAAATGGATACTTACACTTTCGGATCTCCTTTCAGATACTTCTACAAATTTCCTCACACTTTCTTCAACCTGCAACAGATACAGCAATAGAAAGAAAGTTATTTCTTGTTACATAGTTGCCAAGTAACACAACCAAAAACAATCGATTACCATATTCACAATAAGTCAGTCGGTTGCAACATAGAACTTCGTACGTATGTACATAAGTTCAGGTTGCCATACCACATTGGCACAGAGAGGCAAATGTCAAATCAAATCCAATAGTGATAGAGATAGTAGGGGTATTATTGGTAAATGGGAAGACTAGGGTTTGAAGATATTATTCAAGAAGTATAATTCAGTGAGATAATGTTAGCAAGACAAATGTAGAGGTGCTAATGAATCCAGAAGATTAGGATTTGAGAGAGCACAACGAATGGATGCACTTGCGCCATTGCAAACGATTCTAAGCCATGTCGTTAAACGTCTCTAACCGTTGGTGACTTTCGTTTCGCTGACCCCCAACCAAGTAGCCTACATCTACCAACATGACTCGGTCCACTTGTCAGTGACTTCATGGGTTTCTGTCATGTTTTGGTCTGGCCGCCAATATCTTTCTTCCAACGTATTCCTACACCACAAAACATAGCCCGTCGAGGCTGTCGGTAGTTTAGCATTCGCAACACATGTCCCAACCACCTCAACTGATGGTGTTTCATTACTTCATCTATTTATTTGCCATCCTTAACTAGTACTCATTTCATAACGACAGCATTGCTTACTCAATTGTCCCACGATACACGCGCAATGCTTTGGAGTCATCTATGACCGAATACCGGTAACCTACGAATATCTTCTACTCTAAACGGTCATGTTTCGCATCAATATATCAGGACGAAGCGAACTGCTACTCATTACAACCGTCCTTTGGTTGAAGAACGGATATCTCGCCTACGCCATAAGTGACGCAAGATGGCAAAAGTCATTCGAGCTTTCTGTATCCGTGCTGAGATTTCATCAGTCATCAGCACTGATGAAACTCCCAAGACAAGTGAAGCGGTTAACACGCTCGACTACTTCACTCCCTATCACTAGTTCAGGTGCCAATGCAACCCAATCTTCAAGCAACATTTTGCATTTCGAGGGGGAAAACCGCATCCCGAACATGCTTACATTGTTGCTTGGGGTAGTCAGAAGACTCTGCATTTTGTCAGCGTCTTCACCGAGTAGAACTATGTCATCGGCATATTCTAAGTCAATAAACAAGCCTTCAAATAGAAGATGTACTCCAGAAAAATCTGACGAGGTTAATGTTAACTATAGGAGTATGTAATGGTGGACCCAACTAGATCACGCTGCCATCAGCCACTGATGGGGGGAGGTTCAGTAAAGGACTGTCGCACGTTCTAGGACACATGTTTAGATTCAGATCATGTCCTAGTACGAGCGCGTATTTGTTTGAAGCATACTGGACGTAGGAAACACCGTGAGAAAGCCTCCCAGGGTTTTACGCAATGA